TCAATAAGATATTTAAATAAATAGTATATTTAATACAGTAGGCTGATCATAGTTCGCTTAACCTCAAACTCCTGGGCTTACGCGATCCTCCTACCTCAGCCTCCCAAGTAGCTGGGACTACGGGCCCACATTGTCACACCCAGCTGATTGTTAAAATTTTGTTTGTAGTGACAGAATCTTGTTATGTTGTCCAGGCTGGTCTGAAACTCCTGGCCTCAAGCCATTCCTGCCCCCCACCCAAAGTACTGGGGTTATAGGCGTAAGCCACCATACCCAGCCAATTCTTTTTAGTAGCACGTACACAAATTTAAAACATTAACTCATTCATCTTTGCAATAGCTGTGGTAAGTAATAAGGCAGTCATAAGGAAGACTCAGGTGAACTATTAATATTATAGGTTAGACAAAAGTCTAGAATAGAATCAGGTTTTTTCTATTGTCTATTCTTCTTTGTAGAGGTTATGAAAGCAATGGATCGATGTGTTAAACTGCAACGGTCCCCAATCTTTCTGGCACCAGGGACCGGTTTCATGGAAGACAATGTTTCCATGGACAGGAGAGGGGGTCGGGGGTGGGGTAAGGGGATTAGGGGGTATGGGCCGCAGCTCCAGCGGGACTGATACCCAACCAGCTCTGGGATTTGGGACCGCAGTTCTAAAGTGTGAATCAATGAACAGTAGATTTTTTTTTTAATAGAAGTTTTCTCAGATGTTTGTGGTGAGCTCACAAATATTAACTGACTCTTACAAAATATACTGTAGTTCTGCATTAATCTCTTTCAGCTCTTTGGATTTACGAAACGTGTGCTAAATCACATTTAAAAGTACATTTGATGATGAGGATGTGGAGAAATTGGAATCCTTGCAAACTGCAGGAATGTAAAATGGTATAGCCACTATGGAAAACTGTATGGTAGTTCCTCAAAAAATTAAACACAGAATTACCATATGATCCAGCAGTGCCACTTCTAGGTATTTATACAAAAGAATTCAAAGCAGGAACTTGAAGAGATATTTGCATATGCATGTTCATAACAGCATTAATCACAGTGGCCAAGAGGTGGAAGCAATCCAAATGTCCATTAACTCCGCAGATGAATGGATAAACAAAGTGTGGTATATACATACAACAGAATATTATTCAGCCTTATAAAGCAAGGAAATCCTGTCACATGCTGCAACATGGATGAACCTTGAGGACTTTATGCTAAGTGAAATAAGCCAGTCATAAAAAGACAAATACTGTATTCCACTTTTATGAGATATCTAAATTAGTCAAAGTCACTGAAAAAGAAAGAAGAATGGTAGTGGCTGGGGACTGAGGGGAGGAGAAATGGGGAGTTGTTATTTAATAAGTAAGTATAGAGCTTCAATTTTGCAAAATGAAAAAGGTATGGAAATTCATCGCACAACAATGTGATTATATTTAATACTTCTGAACTGTACACTTAAATATGAGTAAGTGGTAAATTTTATATTATTTTTTGGCCACAATTAAATTTGTTAAGAAGTATAATTAACTGCCTTTATACTTTTCTCTCTCCAGTGCAGTGGACTTCATTGGAAGATGCTATTTCACCAAAATCTGCAAATGTAAACTGAAGGACATCGCATGTTTAAAGTGGTAATTTGTAGCAATATTCTAGATAGCCCTGGGTTTAGAAGATGGATGTTAACATCAAAGCACAGAGACAGGTTCAGTGGGCTGCAGTGAGCACTGGTATAACCCATGCAATGAACCATTGAAAAAATCATTTGTTACTTAGAGCTATTTTTTAAAAGGATCTTGTGATACTTCACATTTGTATATGATTTTACAATTTTCGAAGTGCATTCACAAGTATCTGCTTTAATTTTCAGAACAAGGCAATATAGTTTGAGGGAAATACTTAGATTTACAGTAGTAGCTCTACCTTACTTTCTATGTGGTCTTGAGTAAATTCTTTAAACCTCTAAACCTCTGAACCGCTGTTATCTCAATAAAATAGAAATTGTCTTTTGTATTTACCTTATAAAGTTTTTGTGAAGATCAAATGAATTATGAATGTTAAAAGGCTTAATAAACTAAATTACAACACAGATGAAAGCCACTACTATAATCTTATGAGAGGTAGATGAATGTGTGTTATTATTCCCATTTTAGGGAGAAAAAAGTTGAGATTTTCTCATTCAAATGGGGTTTGAATTATAAATTATAATCCTAATCATTTAATTTAGCAAACTCTTCTTATTTGCTAATGACTAGTTGATTTCATTCACTCATTTATTCATTAAAGCTATACTTATGGCCGGGCGCGGTGGCTCACGCCTGTAATCCTAGCTCTCTGGGAGGCCGAGGCGGGCGGATTGTTTCAGCTCAGGAGTTCAAAACCAGCCTGAGCAAGAGCGAGACCCCGTCTCTACTAAAAATAGAAAGAAATTAACTGGAAAACTAAAAATACATAGAAAAAATTAGCCGGGCATGGTGGCGCATGCCTGTAGTCCCAGCTGCTCGGGAGGCTGAGGCAGTAGGATCGCTTGACCCCAGGAGTTTGAGGTTGCTGTGAGCCAGGATGACGCCATGGCACTCTAACCTGGGCAACATTGTGAGACTCTGTCTCAAAAAAAAAAAAAAAAAAAAGCTATACTTATATTGAGAACCTACTATATGCTAGTCATTATTATAGGGACTGGAAACAAAGCCACCAAACAAGATAAAGTTACTAGCCTTTGGACATTATGTTTTAATAGGAAGATGATCAATCAATAAGATATTTAAATAAATAGTATATTTAATATGGTAGAAAGTACTCCTAAGGAAATAATAATAATAAATGATAGAGGATTATAGAAGTTGAGAAAGTAGGTGAGAGCTATTTTAGTTGTCATGGTCAGGGAAGCCTTCTCATAAACAGTAAGAGGAAATAGCAAATGCAAAGAACCGATGGCAAGAAGCTTAACACGTTCACACTGGCCAGTGTGGCTGAAATGTGAGCATGGAGGGAGAGTAGTATGAATAGTTTAGAGATGAACCCAGATAACCTAGAGCAGTGTTGTCCAATAGAAATATGCAAGTCATATATGTAATTTAAAATGTTCTGGTAACAACATTTTAAAAATTAAAACAAAACAGGTAAAATTAATTTTCATCATATATTCTATTTAACCCAATATATCCAAAATATTCTCATTTCAACATGCAACCAACATAAATTATTAATGTAAATTTTACATTCTATTTTTTGTTGTTAGTCTTTGAGATCTGGTATACATTTCACATTTACAGCATGTCTCAATACAGGCCAGCCCCATTTCAAATGCACAATTAGCCACACATGGCTAGTGGCTATTGTTTTTGACAGTGTAGATCCAGATCTTGGTACGAAAGGGCTTTTTATTTTCATTTTTGGCCAATAGGAAGTCATTCAAGGGGTTTTAACAAGGTAGCAAAGTGATCTGATGTAGCCCCACTAGAATGTTCACTCCATGAGAGCAAGGACTTTGTTTTGTCCACTGCTGTAGTCCTAGCACCTAGAACAGTGCCTGGCATATAGTAGATGTTCAGTAAACATTAATTCAGTGAGTAAATGAATGGATGAATGAATGAATATAGGAGATAATTAAAGCCATAGAATTTACTCTTGCAATGTAGTCTTATAAATAACTGTCAGTCCTAGTCCAAGAACAACTTTTATTTTCGTTTGTTTGCCTTTCAAGCAGGTTATGATTAGAAGACATATTTTAGGTGGGCTGGTACCTTTTATAGTAATCTTTATAGGGTCTCATAAAAGTGACTGACTCCCACATCTCACAGGGTGAGATGAAGCCACAATAAGAATTTTTATAACTCAGGTATAAACAGTTCATGTTGCATTTTTTTAAAAAAGTACTGAAACATTCCCTGTAGGTTCACTTTATTTAATATGTGACTAGGTAGTAAAAAAAAATTTTTTTTGAAAGAATGAGGTACTTATAATTAGCTGGATAATACTGAAGACAGTAAAAACTTTTGCAACTTTCTCTAGAGGCTTTAGATATGCTTTATTTCTGAATTCCTTCAAAAACACTGAAACTAAAATTAGAGCAGCCAGCTTGTGTTTAGTTTACAGGGACTCATGCTGTCTTCCTACTCCTCCATCTGTTGAAACAGTTTTTAGGTGCTGGCATGGAACTAGAACATGTAAGAACCCCACTTACCACAGTTCTGGGATAGCAAAAACCTTTACCCACTGATCGGAGTTTATTTAATTTATTTTGTCTGTACAGCACATCAATTTGAGTGCTTAACAGAAGAAATCATAACCTGATGGCATCCAGAAGCTAGCTTCCAAAGGGAGAATGCATAAAATGACACTAGCAAAGAAATGCAAGAATATGTTAGTATTATTTCAATTAAAGACTACTTTCCCACTTAATGGTAGAACTGCATCCATTATCATAGTAACTCCCATCCCAAAGATCCCAGGAATGGAGGTTGTTTGGAGGAAATGAGTTCTAAATTATATGGTCTATCTATTTATATCAGCATATAAAAATGCTTATCTGGCTAGGTATTGCATGGCATATAACAGCATTTACTTTCTTTTTTAGTGGGAACATCGTAGGTTATCATGTGATTGTTCCATGTACTTCCTGCCTTCTTTCCTGCAACAATGGACACTTCTGGATGTTTCACAGCCAGGCAGTTTATGATATTAACAGACTGGACTCCACTGGTAAGAAGCAATGGATTTAGACATTCCTGTAACATTTCTATATAAATACCTGAGTGAAACTCCCAGTAGATAATTTCAGGATTCCTTTTATAGACCTTCTTAGCTGGGTTGGATCAGCTAGAGTGAAACTCTAATCCTTTTTTCCCAATCACATGAAAATTATTAGGCAAAATTCATTGTCGTTTCTATATTCATCATTGTATTTAAGGGCCTCAAACTTAACTAGATTTTTCTTGATCTTTTAAAATTAATATTTTAATTGCTCCAAACTGCTGCCTTAATACATATTCTGACTCCAGAGAATTTTTGAAGATTAAAATCTGACTTGATAGTCAAATGTGTGTGTATGTGCGCGCATGCTCGTATAAGAAAGGAAGGTAGAGCAAGCAAGGGTAGTAAGGTTGAGGGGAGGAGGAATAGGTAACCTCTATATTTGGTGATGCTTCAGGATAAAAAGAGACATTTTGACATCTATGTTAATAAGTTAGATAGAATCTTAGTCAAGAGGAATACTTGGTACTAGTATGTTGTACAGACATACCTTGGAGATATTATGGATTCAGTTCTAGACCACTGCAATAAAGCAAATATCACAATAAAGAGAATCATACGATTTTTTGGTTTCCCAGTGCATATAAAAGTTATATTTACAATATACTGTAGTCTATTAAGTGTGCAATAGCATTGTAATAATGTATATACCTTAATTTAAAATACTTTATTGCTAAAAAATGCAAACAACCAGGCATGGTGACTCATCCCTGTAATCCCAGCTACTTAGGAGGCTGAGGTGGGATGGATCACTTCGCTTGAGGCCAGTGAGCTATGATCGTGCCAACTGTACTCCAGCCTGGTGCAGGCTAGACCCCGTCTCTTAAAAAAAAATGCTAATGATCACCTGAGCCTTCAACAAATCATAATCTTTTTCCTGGTGGAGGGTCTTGCCTCTATATTGATGGCTGCTGACTGATCAGGGTTGTGGTTACTGAAGGATGGAGTGTCTGTGGAAATTTCTTAAAATAGGACAACAATGAAATTTGCCACATTGGTTGATTCTTCCTTTCATGAAAGATTTCTCTGTAGCATGCAATGCTGTTTGATAGCATTTTACCCACAGTAGAAATTCTTTAAAAATTGGAGACATTCCTCTCAAATCCTGCCACTGCTTTATCAACTAAGTTTATGGAATATTCAAAATCCTTTGTTTTCATTTCAACAGTGTTCATAGCATCTTCACCAGGGGTAGATTCTATCTCAAGAAACCACTTTCTTCACACATCCAGAAGAAGTAACTCCTCATCTGTTAAAGTTTGATCATGAGATTGCAGCAGTTGAGACACATCTTTGGGTTCCACTTCTAATTCTAATTCTGTTTCTACCACATCTGCAGTTACTTCCTCCACCAAAGTCTTGAACCCCTCAAAGTCATGCCTGAGTGTTGGAATCAACTTCTTTCAAACTCCATGAATCTTGATATTTTGACTTCCTCCCATGAATCACAAATGTGCCTTTCCAGAAGGTTTTCAATTTGCTTTGCAGAGATCCATCAGAAGAATTACAGTCTGTGGCAGATATAGCCTTATGAAATGTATTTCTTAAGTAATAAGACTTGAAAGTCTAAATTACTCCTTGATCCATGGGCTGTAGAATGGACATTGTGTTAGCAGGCATGAAAACAACATTCATCTCCTTGTACATCTCCACCAGAATTCTTGGGTGACCAGGTACATTGTCAAAGAGCAGTAATATATTGAAAGGAATCTTTTTTTCTGAGCAGTAGTTCTTAACAATGGGCTTAAAATGTTTAGTAAACCATGTTGTAAACAGACACTATCATCCAGGCTCCGTTGTTCCATTGATAGAGCACAGGCAGAGTACATTTAGCATAATTCTTAAGGGGTCTAGGATTTTCAGAATGATAAATGAACATTGGCTTCAACTTAAAGTCACCAGCTGCATTAGCCCCTAACAAGAGAGGCAGCCTGTCCTTTGAACTTTGAAGCCAGGTATGACTTCTCTCTACCTATGAAAGTCCTATATGGCATCTTCTTCCAATAGAAGGCTGTTTTTGTCTACATTAAAAATCTGTTGCTTAATGTAGCCACCTTCATCAATATCCTTACCTAGATATTCTGGATAACTTGTTGCAGCTTCTATGTCAGCACTTACTGCTTCATTTGCACTTTTATGTTATAGAGATGGTTTCTTTCCTTAAACTTCATGAACCAACCTCTGCTAGTTTCCAACTCTTCTTCTGTAGTTTCCTTGACTCTCTTAGCCTTCATAGCATTGAAGAGAGTTAGGACCTTGCTCTAGATTTGGCTTTAGCTTTAAAAAATGTCATGGTTGGTTTTGATCGTCTACCTGGACCACTAAAACTTTCTCCATGTAAACAATAAGGCTGTTTTGCTTTCTTCTTTGTGTGTTTACTGGAGTAGCATTTTTAATTTCCTTGAAGAACTTTTCCTTTGCATTTACAACTTGATTATTTGAGGCAAGAGGCCTAGCTTTCCGACTGTCTGGACATACCCTCCTCACTAAGCTTAATCATTTCTAGCTATTGATTTAAAGTGAGAGGCATGTGACTCTTCCTTTCATCATTGTAGGGATATTAATTGGCCTAACAATTTCAATATTATTGTGTCTCAGGGAATAGGGAGGCCTGAGGAGAGGGACAGCTGGTCAGTGGAGCAATCGGAATACACACAATATTTATCCATTAAGTTCACCATCTTATATGAGTACAATTCATGGCACTGCAATACTGTTACAATAATAACATCAAAGATTACTGATCACAGATCACCATAAAAGGTATAATAATAATGAAAAAGTTTTAAATATTATGAGAATTACCAAAATGTAACACAGAGACATGAAGTGAGTACATGCTGTTGGAAAAATGGTGCCAATAGACTTACTCAACAGTTACCACAAACCTTCAATTTGTAAAAAGCTCAATAAAGCAAAGCACAGTAAAATGAGGTATGATTGCACTAGTTACTTTATTAAGAAAATACACTACCAATTCTTAGGCCGGGCGCGGTGGCTCATGCCTGTAATCCTAGCTCTCTGGGAGGCCGAGGCGGGCGGATTGTTTGAGCTCAGGAGTTCGAAACCAGCCTGAGCAACAGCGAGACCCCGTCTCTACTAAAAATAGAAAGAAATTAATTGGACAACTAAAACTATATAGAAAAAATTAGCCGGGCATGGTGGCAAATGCCTGTAGTCCCAGCTACTCGGGAGGCTGAGGCAGAAGGATCGCTTGAGCCCAGGAGTGTGAGGTTGCTGTGAGCTAGCCTGAGGCCATGGCACTCACTCTAGCCCGGGCAAAAGAGTGAGACTCTGTCTCAAAAAAAAAAAAAAAAAAAAAGAAAATACACTACCAATTCTTAAAAGATATTTACATATTTTTATATTGTCTGGAGCTGTTCAATTTTGTTATAGGACACATGTTCTCAATGTCTAATATCTATTTACACAACAGACCAAGTTGAGTTTAAGGAACTTGACAATATAAGTTGGCACTAACATTCTTAGGTTTCTAAATGTATGTTTTAGTCTTCTTTGGAACTTAAAATATATTCCTTTTTTAAAAAATATGATTTGCCTTCATACATCAAAAGATCATGAGTTGCAAGCTAGATTATTAGGAACTTTAAACCCTCTAATTATGCTTAGAGTTTTATAGACTTAATTTTTTTTATCACCTAGGATTCAACTGTGGCTCTTGATCCATCATTTGGGGGTCTTAATTTAAGCATGTAGTATGTTAAGAAAGCTATTTTCAAGCAAGGATTTATATGAACTCCCCTAAGTAGGATAGAAGCTCCTAATTTAGGCCTCCATTTTTATGTTTGTGTTGCTCACGGGACTCATTAAAGGAAGTTTCTGCTTTGATACTATTTTTCCTGCTTCAGAGAATTCAAAACATAGGGTGGAGATTTCTCAATTTTGATTTACTTTTTAATATTGGTCAATTTTTCAAAGATAAAAGCCCAGCAGTCTTCTATTCGCACTGAATCTAATCCATAAGAAACAGATGTATCGCAGGATTTCCTTCCTCCCTTCTTAACAGAGAAAGGAAGGTACTGCTTCTATCAGATCCAATCTCGTAGTTTATTTTTCCTCCTTTGAACCAATTGTGCTGAGCTGCTTCATGTCTCTGAGTATTGACTCCAAGAATACCAAACTTTTCCTTTGTAACCCTAATACTGCAATTTAAAGCAAGATTTTCTAGATGCTTGGTATAAAAGAAGGTTTCTAATGGCCTTGGAACTGTCCTTGAATCACCTGAACCAGCATCGTCAAAGGAATACATACACAAGTGTTATAAAATTCTAGAAGGTTTAGACTGAAAAGGATCCCAGGAGGTCTGTGTTCTAGGCTAGCGTTCACATAGAGACCTGATTTCTTAGAGCTTTCCTGAGGAACCTTGGGAAATTTCAGCCCAATTCCTGGAATTGGCAAATGCCCTCGAAGGCAAATTGGCTTCATCTGTCCATGTACGTATGTAGGTTCTAATTTTCACTTAGATTTTGGCCTAGCACTTCCTTACAATCCCATCAGCTCTTCCATGTCATATTACCAGAAGCAGCACACCATTCATTCTTGGGGGCGTGGGGAGTGTTTTTTATTATAAGCAATTCAAACACAAAAACAATACAGAGAATACGATAGACGTGCATATCCTCACCAGTATCAAATGTAGTATCAATAAATGCTAACTTTTTGCCTAATTAGATTCCAGTATCTCTCTTTTAGCCAAGATAAACAGTTGATTATTTCAACTATTACAACAATGTCCCACTGCGCCTCCTTGTGCATGTCTCCTTGGGCACCTATGCAAAAGGGACAGCTAGAGGAAGGGCTGTATTTGCAATATCTTCATAATTTTTCTTAAATTCACACAATGGAATACTCTAAAGAAATAAAAATAAATTAGCTAAATCTCCATATATCAACATAGATAAACCTCAAAAACATAATAAGTGAGAAAAGAAAATTAGGAAAAAACATGTAGTATCATACCATTCTATAAAAATTTTAAATACACAAGGTAATAATATATGTTGTCTATGGTTGCATGCATTCGTAGTAAAACAATCCATGATGTACTTGTAGTGGTGGAAACCAGATTCAAACCAAATCACCAAACCCTGGCTTATTTCTTTCCACCATGCGGCTGCTATCTCAGTGTGTATGGAGTGGGTATCCAGAATTGTCGAGTCTTCTTTGTGCCCACCCGGACAACTGGACAGCTTGAGATTTGCTTTTCTTGTTGAAGTTCATTGGCTATCCTAGAGGTCAATTTTCTTCAATTTAGTGCTTTTAACTTATAATATAGTACATGGCCAGAATAAATCAAATCATTATCCTCTAAGGTGTGTTTGGTTATTTACTATATACTTGTTCTGTATTTTTCAGTATGAAATCTGACTATTCTTTCTCAATGAGATTTTAGATTGTTGTTTTGTTTATTATATTGACTGCTACAACTCGATCCTAAAGTTTAGTTTACAGCTCTGCCTTGACAATCTCTAGACTGAAACCCACCTATATCAAGGATTGCAGTTCATATTATAACTGGCGCTAAAACTTTGCTTTTTTTAATGAGAAAAACGGCACCAGCTACTTCTATGCTTATTGAAGAGATGACACTTATTCAAGACTTTTCCCTGCACCCTCCAAACAGGCACTTAATCTAAAAGGATCTTGTGAGATCTTCATTCTTAGAGATCATTAAAAGAGATTAGAAAATTATCAGTGTACAGTGATAATGACATAATGTAAGTGGAGGCAGGGTTTGAGTAAATGGATTCCTCAGATCTTTTTGAGTTCTAAGATTCTAGAAGTCAAGTCCTTGCTTAAAAGGGTTTAAAGAATGTTTGTTTAGGTCCTGGATGGATAATATTATTTGCGATACATTCTTTAATGGCTATTCTCTTTACTGCTAACACTATGTTTTATATAAGAATGTTAACATATGAAGTTTCATATATCATGGTCTGAGTTGTAACAGTAGTGAGCACTAAAGAATTTTTTGACCTGTTATTTTCAGGTGTAAACATCCTACTTTGGGGCAACTTGCCAGAGATAGAAGAGAGTACAGATGAAGATCTGGTAGATATCTCATCAGAGGAGTGTATTAGATGAATGGAATTGTGATACATGTAATATTCAAACTTTTCTATTTAAAAATATATTAATGGATCAACTTTAAAATTGTTAGTAATGGTCTGCCAGTGATTTCTTTCTTTGGAAAATGAAAATTGGGCATTTGCTGATTTATTTATTTGCTATCTCAAATTGATTACCTCAGTTTAATTTAAGCCAATGGAATTGTTCTTTTCTTCTACTTATACTTCTCCCTTTCCCCTACCCTTTTGCCTAGTATAGGTATATTTCTAAATTCAGCTAGGAAAAAATTCTTTCACATTGTCACTCAGCTACCTCCCAATCTGGGGGAGTTTTTCTTACAACTTGATGCCAGATACTATTAATTTTACATTCTTGAACAAAGGGTATTAGTACCCACACATATATCAACCACATATATATCAGGCATGTATCAACTGAATGTTAACAAGGGATTTAAAAAAATGGGCTGTTTGGTTTCCATGGGTACTGACTCTCATATGTTATATTGGCAATAACTGCTCTAATATGGAGCAAGACTTTGTGAATCAGCAAATACAATAAATTAAAACTTCAAAATATATGGAGGAATCCTCTTGATTCCTCAGAATGATCTTAGATAAATGGGTTTGTCAGAAAATTTATCAATCTATACTGTCTATCAATGTTATTTATTTACATTCTTCTAAAGCCATTATGGATATTGTATTATGAAAGCCAGATAAACTCAAACTCTGTCTTTAAGTTATCCTGTTCTCTAGGGCTTTCTATGTAAAAAGCAAATTTTAGATGAGTAGTCTCAGCCCCAACCCTTAAATAGAAAAAAAACCAAAGTGATTTGCTTAAGCCATTGTACATTATAAAGAGCTATTTTCTCTTGTTTTGTTTTGTTTTTTTAGAGCTGCATTCAGAGCCACTCAGGAATAGGAAACTGGGATAATATTGGGTTCTATTTTTATGTAAAGCTAAAATAAATGTATCTCTTTTAATATCTCAGTTGTAGGGTATTTTGTTAATAGTGATACTAAAGCAGACTGAGTTGAAGTTTTATAAATAAAGTTTGTTCTAAAAATGACCCTCTTTCCTTTAATTTTTATTATACCCACTTATCTAAAAATATAGAGTGATAGTATATAAAGTATAGAATTATTAATATAAGGCTAATGTTTATTGAATGCTTACTATGTGCCAGACACTGTTCTAAGTGCTTTATGCATTTAACTCATTCCATACAGCAAACTCAGTTGTAGGGTATTTTGTTAATAGTGATACTTAAGCAGACTGAGTTGAAGTTTTATAAATAAAGTTTGTTCTAAAAATGACCCTCTTTCCTTTAATTTTTTATTATACCCACTTATCTAAAAATATAGAGTGATAGTATATAAAGTATAGAATTATTAATATAAGGCTAATGTTTATTGAATGCTTACTATGTGCCAGACACTGTTCTAAGTGCTTTATGCATTTAACTCATTCCATACAGCAAACCCAGAGGTAGGTACCATTATTCCTTTTTTTACTGATAAGACTGGTTAGACATAGAGATGTGAAGTAACTTGTCTAAAGTCACATAACTGGTCAGAAGTGTGGCCACATTCAAACTCAGCAGACAGATTGACTCCAGAGCTCCCACTCCTAATCTTAATGCTATACCCCTGACCACCTCCAGACATGAATTATTTATGATCTTACTTAGCCAGGATACATGCTGTATAACTAACTACATTGTTTTGTACCCTAGGTGAGGACAGAAGTGACTGATTGAAGGTTGAACAAACTCATACTGGGTCTTAGGGTACAAATGACCTGAGGGCATTGAAACAACCATTTGCTGTAAACCAAGATAAAAGGTGCTTCAGGAAAAGCTGTTACTCCCACCTGGAAAACTTTTCCAAAAGTCTTTCACTCTGACCATCAACACTAACAGAAAGCCATCAAAAGAACCAAAGGAATGATTGAGGAACAATTCGTTTTCAGATTTTTTTTAATATCTCTTAAATTCTTTCTGGAACAAGGTGAGCACAATGGATAAGACGAAAAAATCTATATACTTCTTCGGTTAACTTATTCAATTAGAGAAGAAAAGTTTAATGCTAGAGTAAGGAATGTGGCAAGTTTAAAATTCAATAGAGTTAATCTGGTTTCCGTTCAGCTCATGCCTTCAAAGGCTATGGTTGACTGAGGGGCTCTTTGAAGAGCAAAAGCAAGACGAGGTGTGCTGATTGAAGCAAACCCCAAACGTGATCCCGCTCCAGCTGGAGAATATTTCAAGTTACTCAGCTACCTTTAGCTAACTGGGTTATGGGAAAGCCAATTTTAAGTAGAAAATGAATTAATGAAGTTTTATCTAGAGAAATATATTCATGATTTTTTTTTTTTTTTTTTTGAGACAGAGTCTCACTCCATTGCCCAGAGTAGAGTGCCATGGCATCAGCCTAGCTCACAGCAACCTCAAACTCCTGGGCTCAAGCAATCCTACTGCCTCAGCCTCCCAAGTAGCTGGGACTACAGACATGGCCGCCATGCCCGGCTAATTTTTTTTTTTTCTATATAGATTTTTAGTTGTCCAAATAATTTCTTCCTATTTTTAGTAGAGACGGGGTCTTGCTCTTGCTCAGGCTGGTCTTGAACTCCTGACCTTGAGCGATCCACCCGCCTCGGCCTCCCAGAGTGCTGGGATTACAGGCGTGAGCCACCGCGCCCGGCCCATGATACTGTTTTTTTTTTGTTTGGTTTGGTGTTTTTTTTGAGACAGGGTCTTGCTCTGTTGCCCCAGCCAACATTCAGTGGCATCATCATAGCTCACTGCAACCTCAAACTCCTAGGCTCAAACAATCCTGCCTCAGCCTCCCGAGTAGCTGGGACTACAGGCATGTGCCACCACGCCCGGCTAATTTTCCTATTTTTTGTAGAGACGGTGTCTTGCTCAGGCTGGTCTCAATCTCCTGACCTGAAACAGTCCTCCCACCTTGGTCCCCCAAAGTGCTAGGCTTACAGGCACTTTTACTATTTTTTAATAAAAGCAAATTATATACACTCTGGTAAGACCAAATCAGAATCACATATGTGAATTTAGTATACATTTTCTAGTTCTAGCATAATTCCTTGGCCTAGAAAATCCATCTATGCTTTGGTCCTCTTTTGAAATTTGATTCAATTCCATAAACTTGAATTATTCTCCTATAGTGTGGCAAGAATTGCACAATGACATGTTCACACTTCAGAGAGTACACAGTGAGTTGGAGAAAGGATAGAATCCTACAAGTCTGTCTAATTCATTGGGTCAAGTGATTTAACAAATCATCTTAAAGTGCTGTGACTCCATAGATGAAAGAATAATCATTCTGAGTAATAAGAGAGAGTGGGAGTTGAGAAAGCTACTGAGAAGAAATGATACTTGCTCAGGCTTTGATGGACAGGAGTTTGCCAACTCAGATGAGAGTTTTGGGCAGAGAGAATAGTGTAAGCAAGTGGATGGGGGTTTAAAAGTATCTTCTTATTTGGGAAACTATAAGTGGTCCCCCATACCTCCCAAGATATGTAATGAGAATTAATTAGAAGATGACGCAAACAAGGAAGGTTAAGATCATGGTTAGGAAGAATATTCTATGCCATTATAAATTTAGACTTGATCCAGTGGCGATGTGCAGTTATTGAAGTTTTTAAGCAGGAGAATAAAATGATCAGATTTAGGACGATAGCTCTGATGATAAAGTGTAATCAACTTTAGTTTTCCAAACATCCTTTCTTTGATGCACTTAACAACTTGACCATGGAAATTGTTTGTTGTCTTTACCCTAAGAACCCATGTAGTTCTTTAAGTTCCCTGGGTTTCTTGTCTTTCATGGAACCTCTGGTCTGCATTTTGACACTTTTTTCCCTTTTCCATCTTGCCATTCCTAAAGTTCAAGGAAAAGGCAATGAGTCATCAGCTCACCCACCATAGCTTTCTCTGCTATTTTATCTTTTTCCTCAACCCAGTTTCTCAACCTCAAACTCCAGCTTTGGTGAGGCATCTTGGGCGGGGCCTAATCTAAAAGCCATAATATTTTGAATAATCGATGGCTCTGAAAACCAGGTCTTTAAATATGAGTAATTTAGGGAGATTGCCCTATAGGGAACTGCTCTTTTGACCTCTGAGTCACATTGGCTTATTAAGAATAAGCTATGTGGCTTCCTTTGGTAAGGAGGAAGTGACCAAGACATAAAAGCCATAATCTAGAAAACTAATCAGAACACAAATAAGGAGTGAGGGAAGGCAAATGAGAATATGGATCAAATAGTCATGCTTCAGTGGTAAATTACTCGATGAAGGCTTTCCCTATTTTAATATTCATGCTTATAAAAGAAAAGTTTCCTTTTCTGCCTTTTTTTTTTTAACTTTAAAAGCAGCCTAAACCATAGTTTCTTTCTTGCCTGGTATTGAGCGTATGCCAAATCTACCCTAAACTGCACAGATGGAAAAAATTAGTCTATGTCTGTGGTACCTCTGGGGTTGAATATTTTTAGTACTTACATCTTAAGCTAAAGATTCTTTCTTCCAACACTCTCAAAGAATCACTTTATTGTCATCCAATGGACAAATTTATGGAGATAGAAATTATTAATAACAATATCATGTTTTTGTTTATCCCTTTATAGTTTACTGAGAGTTTTAACATACACGTTGATCCTCAGAATAATTTTGGGAGCTATCATTCCCATTTTACAAATTAAGAAAGAAAATCTCAGTCACAATACTCAGAGAGTTAGAAGTACCTAAACCTTAATCTGGATCTTCTCATCTTAGTTTAGGGTTTTTTCCCACCTCCTTAAGTGACCCTAAATTAAGGTCTATTTTACTTCACTTAGGATTAATTTTCTTTGACATTCAACCTAAAGCCCAATTATTTTCATTCATTAATCCATTCAACAAATATTTATTGAATGCCTACTGTATGGACAAAATAGATGCTGGGGATACAGGATTAAAAAAGGCAAAATTTCTGCTGTCAGGTGGAGCTGACCTTCTAGTTGAG